CCACTTCTGACAAAATGTTTTCCGAAGGCCGTAACTAGAAATATGTAGCGTCTCACGAGTCCGTCTGATAGGAGTTGTTCTTGTAATCCGTGGAAGACTTACGGGGCAATTCTCATGCGCATGTCCTAAGGCGAACATAGGTAACGTGGGGAGGTTGGAGGGAAATAACGAACCGGGGACTTTTGACAGGTTTACACAGAAATGGATATACTAACTTCCAGGATCTGTGTTAATGGACTGGATCAAACTGTCATTAGAGAAAACAGCGTTAAATGATAACATTTATTCACTGGATAACAGGTAGAACTCAAAATTTAATTACAATGATGGCACAATTTTCCTACACGATTTGAAGTTAATAATGATCCCACAACCTTTATCTTCCAGCGGAGCTAAAACAGGCAATTTTCATAACCTTTCATTTAAAAAAGTAAACTCGCTCAAGCCATATGAAATTGCTCAATTACCATATTTTTGTAACACGAAAGAAACAAAGCCATCCGATTATGCTATTGGTTCACACCTTCACAAGTAAATGTATAACTAAAAAAATTAAAACTTTGTATTGACGATCTATTTCTCCTTTATCCAAATACAAATACAACAAAGTTTTGTGCTAGCCAGTAGATCTCCACCTATCGTCTTGATTACCTCTGCAACAGTTCCTAGTGTTCCTGTAGGGTATGTAAAAATTCGTTAATATCTTATCTCAGTGTTCCTTTGTATAAATGATAAAGATGTGAGAATGTACAAGACATCTTTTAAGATTCTCGTGTGGCCTTATTTTGCCATGGTAACTTAATATCAAAGGGCCATCGTCAGGATAAAGCGCATGTGCCGTCTTGATTGACACCAACTTTTATAACCAATTGAAATCGTAATACTATCACGCGCGCCACGAATTCGTCGCGGGTCAGCTTGGAGTTTTACGTGCCTTTCGAAACTTTTGATGAAAAAGGATTTTTCTCCCAAACATCAACTTGAAAACTGTTCCGTCTGATAAGAAGTAAACATGGCGTAAATGACGCGGAGCAAAATAAATTCTGCACTTGTTAGAATGGCATATAGACATATTTGGGCTTGTAAAATCGTCAATTTCTACCCTTAAAGTCTCAAGCTTTGGAATTGTGTATTTCAAACGTTACATTTTGTAAATATGAAAAGATTACTTTCGCTTCATATGTACTTTAAGTCAGTAGTATTGGCGATGGGGAAGGTCTAAGGTCTTAGATCTTCGACTGAACTCACACTGTCTTGTTTAACTGAGTGATTCCCTCACTCAAACTAGTGCACGAAACAGATAAATTCCCTGAATTAAGTTGGTCAGCTTGACGTGGCATGAAAAACAAATAAAAGCTCATAATTTGTTGACTGGTTTCTTGCCCTGTTTATCAATACCTACATGGGTGGAAAGAGGTACTGTGAGCCGGAGTAAAATGTGTTGCCTAAGAACATGACACAATGACTCCTTGCAGGGCTCATACTCAGAATGCTTGATCCAGACTCCAGCGAATTTAAAACCATGAAATCACTGCACACACATTTAATATGAAAGAAAATAATTATAATTACCATTATATTATCAGTAAAAAAAGAACTTCTCTGCAATGTCTTGGCGGTATATCAATGGATGCAATAACACCTCATGCAAAGCCTGGTAGGTCGCATTAACACCTTCCTTTTGTTTCCAAAAGTCAAAATTTTACAAAGAATGTATGAGCTCATTAGCGCTTTAAGGTGATTCCCTAGTAAAAGAACCCGCCTTAGATTTCTGATGAAACTTGGTATGCTATTGTTACAGGATGAGGAGATATTAAAAACGTAATAAAAAGAGGGGGTCACCGTGCTTGTTTTCACGCCACAATGCCAACAGATACGATTATTTTGGTGAGTTTCGGTAATCCCCGTGCGCAACAAATAAGCTTGATTATTTTTCAACGCAGCGTGTTCTATCACACAGAGTTTAACTTTCTTTGATTGTTTATTCATCTGCGTCCCAGAAAAAATGTCTTCAAATACCCGGCATTGTTTTATCCTTTAAAGGAAACATAATTTGGACATGCGCTGTTGGGTCCGTTATGTCTCCCTCTGTAGTAGTTATTTCATTTGCCAAAAAAGTAGCCATAGATTTCAGCTAATTGTTTGCTCAATTATTGAAGATATTGCTCTCATTTAAATTGTGAAATAAAAAGTGGGGTCATCGTGCTCGTTTAATAGAAAAGGAGCATTTACTTCGCTATCGAGCTTAGTTTGAGGGAAATCTCTCACGCTTTGTACGCGCACGCGCTCATGTGCGCGCGCTAATTACGCTAAAATCGTGCGCAGGAGGGATGCGCAATGCAATACTAAGGAATTAAAAATGTTTACAGTCAATTCGTGTCTAGCGTACGTGATGCCTTCTCTGCGCAAAGTCGTATGTTAATGAGAAAATATGTGAACAATGACGCCTGCAAAGATTTCGCCTAAGCGATGACCACAAAGACGTCGAGGACGACGCCCAAATATATAATAAGCACCATAGCAACCATGCATTTGTATTTAACACCCAGCATTTAGATTTACCGGTCATTCGTTGATGCTGCATGATGAGTGTCGTCACTCTTTAGCCATACGAAACAGGACTGCAGCAATAGAACGATGAATCACTCCTGAAGTCCTGGATGTTTTCTTTGTACCCGCTGGATCTTAGAGTAGCGTTTTACAATCGGGAGGTTTTGTCGAACTCTTCTGAGTCGCAAGATAAGAGTGCAGCGGGTACAAAAAAAATACCCAGTATGTGGGAAATCAAACCCAGGGAAACGGCAGAAGTAAGAACAGATCAAGAAACGTAATCTGGTTTAATCCGCCTTACAGCCAAAATGTTCAGACAAATGTCGCAAAATTATTCCTACACTTGATTGATAAACATTTCCCGAAGTCCCATAAACTCCACAGGATACTCAACAGAAATAATCTCAAGATCAGCTACAGCTGCACAGCTAGCATAGCAAACATGATAAAGAACCACAGCCAGAAAGTCTTGAATGACAACAGTGAGGTTACAAACCGAAAAAAATGCAATTGCAGAAACTAAAACCTTTTGCCCTCTCGACGGACAATGTCTCTCTGCATCCTCAGCCGCCAAAGAGCTATCCACTTCTCTGCGGAGCTCGTCGACCAGGCTAGCGCCGTCGCATGTCCGCTTGCGACCCATTCCTCTCGGAGGCATTCTATTTGACAATTAGATTAAGAGCTCGAGATTTCTATGAGGTGATAGTTAATGAGGCCGAAGGCCGAATCAACTATTGCCTCATAGAAATCGAGAGCGAATAATCTAATTGTTTTAGTAGAATTCTAACTGAGATAAACGCAAATAACGGTTTCTAATTATCTTTCTACGCATTATTGAATTTTACGCTTTAACAAAATCGCACTCATTGAATTGTCCTTGGTAAATTTGTAGTTGTTTACGCGCGCGCACCCGTTTTCTCAATAATTTCAAGTTTTTGAAGTGAAGAAACCACCAGTGTCCTTCATTTAGTCTTCTCAGGAATTTAATTATCTATTTACATCTAAACTTTCTTCCAAAACTTCGTAAAACGATAAAAACTTCGCATTTTGTGGACGGTCGACAGCCGCTGCACTCCAATGGCTGACAGTATACGAGTAGCTCAGCCAACCAGATTGCAGCATTGCATTAGTATACCAGTAGAATTCTACTACTGTATACGCAAGATCGAAAAAAAAAATCTAGTTACAAATATACTGTATGGTTAGTTTTCATATGACGTCATCATTTTCTAAAATCGAACATTAAACAGCCACCACTAAAGAGCCACAGACCTAAAACTTGGAGAAGTGCCTTCTTTATTTATTTCCTATGAGATCACAATTTCTTGACTTTATCCACTGAATGGGTTTCGCCTTATTTTTTTATTGCGTGACAGTGAAAACGATCTGTAAGACAAAAACTATTTTGGAAGTATGCCGTGATCATGTCGTCGAAATTAGCCTGAAACTAGAAGCACGCAAGGCAGCAACGCGTCTTGGCCTCAAAAGGCGTACAGTTGCCGTGCCAAACTGAATTCACAGCCTGCTGCATAAGCTGACGTTGCTTCTAGCATTTAAAATGGTCTTCAGCAAAGCAAACTTCTTCCGATCTTAGGCGCGACTGAATTAAATCAGACGTTTGAAAGCGCTGCCGTTCTTTTGTCATGCCACTGCCGGGTCAAACTCACTTGAGTTCGGCACGGCAGTAAAGCGACGTTTGGACTAGGCCCAAGTGTCTTCCCGACTGTTATCCAATCGCGCAATTCTTATAATTCCATAAGAGCTTCAATCCGTAATAAGGGCGCGTAGCAATGACGACAGCGACACCAAGGACGACGCCTTGTAGAAGGTTGATATATACTTTACCGAATTAAGCAATTATCCAGATCTAGTAACTATACCTATCGGTCTAAAAACCTGCTCTGACTAAATATGTAATGAAATCGTTTAATTCCAAAAGGAAATCCAATATATTATCAGTCGCGGTTCACGTTCTCCAAAGTACCAAGAATTTGGTCATTTCCCATTGTTACTTTGCAAAAGACGGCTAAGAAATGTACAAAGATTTTTAATGCCCGTGCATACCCACCGTTCTGTTCATTAAACCTTTTGATTAGTGACGCTCTCGTTCGCGTTACCGTCGTAGTTTGATTAAGTTACGGCTACGATATGGAAATTTCTGCGACGGCACCAAACATTCAAATTTTCTTTTATTGTGTAAGAAATACTCTTTCGCTGAACGTTTTTCGGAAATATTGTTTAGAAGTTTATATTGTTGTGAAACCAAGGAAAGGTAACAATACCAGCCGATCGATCCAGCAAGATGGTCTATGGAATTTACACAAAATATGTCCCTTATAGTGAAACAGAAGAGTATAAAGACGTAAACCTGCCTTGATTTAAGAGACGTTGCGGTCATTTCTTTTGAGGGAGCGGCTCTCAAGAGTCTACGTTTTCCTCTCTGTGTAAGCAATAGTTAAACATAGGCACGCAAGGCGTGCAAGAGTTATTTTTTTTGTGTGAAGTGTCGGAGATAGGAGCATTCATGGTAAAGTAATGATTAGGTTAATTTGACAAGTTTTTTTGTTTGCGATGTTACATCGGTCATGGTAAGATAGCTAAATAGTAAGCCA